CAAGAATTCTATGATTGATGTATCAGTAGCCACAGCAAGAGGAAGTCTCTTGATGTACAAGCCAACAGATCAATTCACCCAGAAAGGTCCCATTAGCAGAGTCTTGCATCTCCCTGTCCTCTGCCCACTGGCATAAGGAAATCCAGGCCCAGTGCCTTCTGTATCTCACTGAAGCTAAGTGTATCTCAATGGCTTCTGCCTCCCCCAACCCACAGAAGGTGGCCTAGCTACACTAGGGATTCACAGAAGTTTCTGTCCTTGCAGACAAGACCAGCAGGCACTGAACAGGATTCCCAGCAGTACCAAAGATATAAAGCATATCAGAATAGCATTGAAAGGGCTCTGAAAACTAAGCTGCCATTAGAACTAAAGCTTACAAAAGTAGGACAGATCTATACACTAAACCTAATAGCATGACTCCCTGCTAAAATAGATTTAAATAGACTTAAATAGAATCAAGACTCTCTTAACATAAAAACAAAAATGTCCACAATACAAATCACCTGTCATACCAAAAGCCAGGGAAACCAAACTCTGAAGGAGAAAAGACAATCAACTGAGACGAATACCAAGATTAATTAGATGCTGGAACTACCTGACAAGGATTTTATTTTATTTTATATTTTATTTTATTTTATTTATTATTATTATTATTTTAGATTTTATTTATTTGAGAGTGAGAGGGAGAGTGAGCACGAGAGAGACAGCACCAGTGGGAGGAGAGGCAGAGGGAGGACAGGCAGACTCCCCACTGGGCAGGGAGCCCAGTGACATAGGGTTGATCCCAGGACCCTGAGATCATGACCTGAGCCGAAGGCAGATGCTTAACCGACTGAGCCACTCAGGCGCCCCCTGACAAGGATTTTAAAGTGGTCTTCATAAAAACGCACTGACAATCAATTACAAACTCTCTTTAAAACAAATGAAAAAACAGAATATTTCTGGAAAAAAAAGTACTTACAAAAAAGAAGTAAATGCAATGAAAAATATAATAGCTGTTATAAAAGACACACTACTGGTCTCTAGAGTAGACATAACAGAAGCTAGAAATCAGTGAACTTAAAGACAGAATTTACTTCATCTGAAAAACAAAGATAAACAGACTTAAAGAAAAAAATACAGCCTCATTCCCTGTGGGACAATAACAAAAGATCCAACATTCATATCATCCAAGTCCCAGAGGACAGGAAAAAGACTGTGGGACTGAAAAATTATTTAAAGATATAACAGTTGAACTTCCCAAATTTCATACAACACAAATCCATAGATTCAAGAAACTCAGCAAATACCTATTAAGAAAAATCCAAAGAACTCAAAACCAAGACATCCATTTCTAAAAACTAGACAAAGAAAAAAGTCTTTGAAATAGAAATGCATATTATATATTGATGATAAAGAAATACCAATTCAAAAGACTAGATTTCTCATTTGAAACCATGGAGACCAAAAAGAAACAGCACAATAATTTTCAAGTACTAAAAGAAAAGAACTGTGAACCTCAAATTCTATACCCATTGAAACTATACTTTTTTTTAAAAAGATATATTTATTTATTTTAGAGAAAGAGAGAGTACATGAGGGGGAGAAGCAGAGGGAGAGAGAGAAACTCAAGCAGACTCCAAGCTGAGCGCAGAGCCCAGTGTGGGGCTCAATCTCACAATCCTAAGATCACAACCTGAACCGAAACCAAGAGTCAGACACTCAACCGACTGTTCCACCCAGCTGCCCCTCCAATGAAACTATTCTTAAGGAACGAAGAAGAAATATAGGCATTCTCAGACAAAGGAAAACTAAGAAAATTTGTTTTTGCAAACATGCCCTTAAAGAGTGGCTAAAGGAAGCTCTCCCAAAACAAAGAAAATGATAACAGAAGAAGGCTTAGACCTTCAGAAAGAAAAGAATAACAGAATGAGCAAAAAAGAAAAAACCATACCAGGCTATCCTTTACCCCATGAGTTCCTTTAGTCCTATTTGATGGTAAAGCAAAAATTTTAACACTATCTCTTGTGGTGATCAATGTTGTAGAAGAAATACTTAAAACAATTATACCAAAAAAGTGGGGAGGATAAAGGGACCTAAATGGATGTAAGGTTTCTACACCTCACTTGAAACAGTAAAACATCAAAACCAGCAGGCTGTGATAGGTATGTACATATATGCTAATACTTAGAGAAAACAATAAAATAAAAATAAAGCAACATATTAAAAAGCATAAATCAAAATGGTACTCTATAAATGTTTGAGTAACTCACAGGTAGGCAAGAAAAAAGAAACAGAAGAACAAGAAACAAAAGAAAACAACAAAATGGCTGGGGCGCCTGGGTGGCCCAGTCGGTTAAGCATCTGCCTTCGGCTCAGGTCATGATCTTGGGGTTCTGGGATCAAGTCTCGCATCAGGCTCCCTGTTCAGCAGGGAGTCTGCTTCTCCCTTTGCTCCTCCCCCCACTGCTCACTGTGCTCTCTCTCCCTGTCTCTCTCTCAATTAAAATCTTTAAAAGAAAAAAAAAATGGTAGTATAAGCCTTAACTTATCAATAATTTTTTTCAATAATTATTTTAAAGGTAAATACCTTTAAAATACTTTAAAATAGGGCGCCTGGGTGGCTCAGATGGTTAAGCGTCTGCCTTCGGCTCAGGTCATGATCCCAGGGTCCTGGGATCGGGTCCTGCATCGGGCTCCCTCCCCTTGGGGAGCCTGCTTCTCCCTCTGCCTCCCTCTCTCTTTCTCTCTCTATCTGTCTCTCATGAATAAATAAATAAATAAAATAAAATACTTTAAAATACCTTTAAAAAAGTAGAAATAGCTATATTAATATCAGATAAAAATATTTAAAGATTCAACTTCAGAATAAAGAAATCTAGTAAGTACCACTGACAGAGCTTCAAAATACATGAAGCAAAAACTGATAGAGCTGAAAGGAGAAAGAAACAAAGCACTATTATACCTGGGGATTCAAATACCCTACTGTCAGCAACTGTCAGAACTACCAGACAGAAAATCAGCAAGGATATAGAAGAACTGAATAAGACTATCAATAATAGGATATAATCAACACTTATGGAACATGCCACCCAACAACAGCAGAATACACAATGTTTCCAAGCACACAGTGAACATTCCCCAAGACAGACCTTATTCTAAGTCATGAAGCAAATCTTAAGTTTAAAAGTCAAAATCACCCAGAGTATATTCTATGATGTATAGTAAAGAATTTAAACTTGCCCAAAGAGAGATCTGGCTTTTGTCTTCATCTCCAGGGAGAAAATCTCTACAAACAATGTCTTTGTTTAGGACCACAGCTACCAGACAGTCTAACAATGGGATTTATGATGTAGGCTTTGAGCCATGTGGTACCAATTCTCCTCAAGAGAGACAGGAATCTAAAGGTATCAGCTCTACCTCCTGAGAGGCTGGAAAATGAAAGGAACAGGCAGCCAACCCAGAGCCCAGTAAAAGTCTGGACACCAGGATTCAGGTTAGTTTCCCTATTTGGCAATACTACATGCATATAGTTACACACAGCTGACGGGAATAGTTAGCACTGTCCATGAATCCACCGGGTGACTGCAACTGAAGCTCCATGTCTGGAAACCTCCTGGGTTCTGCCCATGTGTTTCTTCCCTTGGCTAATTTTAATTTGTATCCCTTTGCTGTAAAAACCTGTAACTGTAAGGATGACAGCTTTCAGTGAATTCTATGAGTTCTTTAGTGAATTATCTAAGGGTTGTCTTGGGAACCCCTGAAATTGCTACTGGGGTAAAAAATAAGGGAAGACTGTGGACTGTTCCCTCTTTCACATGAGACCATAATGGAATCAAACTATAAATAAATAAAAGAAAGGCAACAGGAAAATCTCCAGACACCTCCAAATAACACACTTCTAAATAATTCATGGGTGAAAGAGAAAGTCTCAACAACAAAAAAAAATTTGTAAGGATTATGAGGACACATATACATGGATTTTATATATATATAAATATGTATATATATATATACACACACACAATGAATTATAAGGTTAATAAGAAACATATAACCTTATATTCATAACCTTGAAAACTTACGAGAAATGGACCCAATTCCTTGAAAATCTGAAACTACCAAAACTCAGCCAATATGAAATAGGTCATCTGAGTAGTCTGGTAACTATTACAGAAATCAAATTTGGGGTGCCTGGGTGGCTCAGTCGGTTAAGCATCTGACTCGGCAGGTCATGATCTTAGGGTCCTGGGATTGAGCCCTGCATCTGACTCCACACTCTGTGGGGAGTCTGCCTGTCCCTCTCCCTCTGCCCCTCCCCCTGCTTGTGTTCTGTCTCTTCTCTCAAATAAATAAAATCTTTAAAAAAAAAAGAAATCAAATTTATAATTTAGTAGATCCCAAAAATCTCCAAGTCCACATGGTTTCACTGAAGAATTTTACCAAACAGGGGCACCTGGGTGGCTCAGTTGGTTAAGCTACTGCCTTCGGCTCAGGTCATGATCCTGGAGTCCCTGGATCGAGTCCCACATCAGGCTCCCTGCTCGGCAGGGAGTCTGCTTCTCCCTCTGACCCTCCCCCCTCTCATGTGCTCTCTCTCTCTCATTCTCTCGCTCAAATAAATAAAATCTTAAAAAAAAAAAAGAATTTTACCAAACATTCCCAGAATCTTGCACACAGTTCCTTCCAGAAAACAGAAGAGAACACTTCCCAAGTACTTTATGAGGCCATTATTACTCTGATACCAAAACCAGGCAAAGGCAGCACACACAAAATAACTGCAAACCAACATCCCCCATGAACTCAGATGAAAAAAATCCTCAATTGAATTTTACCAAACTCATTAATGAATAAAAAGAATGATACACAATGACTAAGTGGGATTTATTCCAGGTATGAAAGGCTGATTCAATATTTAAAAATCAATCAATGTAATCCATCATATCAACAACTAAGGAAGAAAAAAAATCCCATGATCATATTAATAACCATTTATGATTTAAAAAAACTCTTAGGGTGAGGGAGACAAACCATAAGAGATGCTGAATCATAGAAAACAAACTGAGGGTTGCTGGAGGGGAGGGGGGTGGAGCGATGGGGTAACTGAGTGATGGACATTGGGGATGGTATGTGTTTTAATGAGCACTGGGTACTTTATAAGACTAATGAATCACAGACCTGCAACCCTGAAACAAATAATGTTAATTAACTGAATTAAACCAAAAAAGCTCTCAGGGCATCAGGAAGAGAAGGGAACTTCTTCAAACTCATAAAGAACATAAAGAGCATCTACAAAAAACCTAGAGCTAGGGGTGCCTGGGCGGCTCAGTCGTTAAGCGTCTGCCTTCGGCTCAGGTCATGATCCCAGGGTCCTGGGTTCAAGCCCCGCATCGGACTCCCTGCTCCACGGGAAGCCTGCTTCTCCCTCTCCCATTCCCCCTGCTTGTGTTCCCTCTCTCGCTGTGTCTCTTTCTCTCAAATAAATAAATAAAATCTTAAAAAAAAAAAAAACCTAGAGCTAATATACTTTATGGTAAAAGACCAAATCCTGAATGTTTTCCCTCTAAAATTGGTAAAAAGGATGTCCACTCTTACCACCCTTATTTATTTTATTTTATTTTTTAGATTTTATTTATTTATTTGCCAGAGAGAGAGAGAGAGACAGCGAGAGAGGGAATACAAGCAGGGGAAGTGGGAGGGGGAGAAGCAGGCTTCCTGCCGAGCAGGGAGCCCGATGCGGGGCTTGATGGCATGACCCTGGGATCATGACCTGAGCCAAAGGCAGATGCTTAACGACTGAGCCACCCAGGAACCCCATTACCACCCTTATTTAATACAGCCCTATAAGTTCTAGCTATTCCAATAAGGCAAGAAAATAAAGGGCACAGTTTGGAAAAAGAAGGAAATAAAACTATTTGCAAATGATATGACTGTCTACAATAATGAATCTACAAGGAAATAATTGAGTTGAATAAGGTCACAGAATACAAGATCAACATACAAAATCAATTTAATTTCTATACATTGACAATAAGCAACAACCAAAATAAAAAGGCAATATCATTTATAAATGCTCCCGAAAAATAAAATACTTAGGTAAAAAATTAACAGAACATGTACAGGATCTATATGATAAAAATTGTAAAATGCTAATAAAAGAAATCAGAGAAAAAAATACTTGAAGAAACATACTGTGTTCATGGATTGGAAGACTCAACAGAGTAAAGATGTTAAATCTCTAACTTCATCTACAGGTTTAACATAATTCCTATTAAAATATCAGCAAGTTTTTTTTGTAGACACAGACAGCCTTATTTTAAAATTTACATGCATGGGGTGCCCGGGTGGCTCAGTTGGTTAAGGATCTGCCTTTGGCTCAGGTCATGATCTCAGGGTCCTGGGATTGAGCCCCCTCTTCAGGCTCCCTGCTCAGCAGGGAGTCTGCTTCTCCCCCTCCTTCTGCCCCTCCCCCGCTCACGCTCACTCTCTCTCTCTCTCAGATAAACAAAATCTTTAAAAAATAAAAATAAATAAAATTTATATGCATAGAAAAGAGCACTAAGGATAGTCAAAAGAATTTTGAAAAATAACAAAGTGGGAAGAATCACTCTTTCCAGTATTAAGGCTTACAGTAATTAAAGTATGGTACCAGCATAGGGTCACAAAGATCAATAGTACAAAACAGAGAACTCAAAAATAGAGCCACACAAATGTGTCCAACTGATTTCTGACAAGGATGAAAATGCAATTCAATGGATAACTTTTTAAATAAATGGTGATGGAGCAACTGCACATCCATGGAGGAAAAAAAATTAACCTTGACCTAAAGTTTCACATCTGTAAAAATGAACTCAAGATGGTCCATACACTTAAATGAAAAATGTAAAACTATAAAACTTATAGAAAAACACAGGAGAAGATCTTTAAGATGTACGACGAAGTGAAGTGTTTAGGCTTGACATCAAATTTAAAAAAAAAAAAAACCCTCACAATTCATAAGATTAAAAATGGACAAATTAGGGGCACCTGGGTGGCTAGTTGTTAAGCGTCTGCCTTCAGCTCAGGTCATGTTCCCAGGGTCCTGGGATCGAGCCCTGCATCGGACTCCCTGCTCCATGGGAAGCCTGCTTCTCCCTCTCCCACTCCCCGTGTTTGTATTCCCTCTCTCGCTGTGTCTCTCTCTGTCAAATAAATAAATAAAATCTTAAAAAATGGACAAATTAGATGCTACATAAATTAGAAACTTTTGCTCTGCAAAAGACTTTGGTAAAAGGTTGAAAAGAAAAATTACAGACTTGAAGAAAATATTTGTTTAACTCACAAATCCACAAAGGCCTATCTAGAATACATAAAGAACTTTGAAAATTCAACATTAAAACACCAAATAATCAAATTAGAAAATGGGCAAAGACATGAACACACATGTCACTGAAGAAGATACACAGATAGCAAATAAACACATGAGAAGATATTCAAAAAAATTTTCTATTAAGGAAATTCGAATTAAAACTACATTGAGATATCACTACCCACATATCAAAATGGCTAACCTGAAAAACAGATATAACACCAAATGCTGGCTAGGATTCAGTGAAACTGGATCACTCCCATATTGCTGGTAGGAACATAAAATGGTAAAACCATTGTGAAAAATAGTTTGGCAGTTCCTTTCATTACATGTTTGAGCTTTATCCCAGACTTCTTTTCTTTTTTATTATTATTCTTTATTTATTTGACAGAGAGCACAAGCAGGCAGAGTGGCAGGCAGAGGGAGAGGGAGAAGCAGGCTCCCCACAGAGCAGGGAGCCTGACGCGGGGCTCGAACCTAGGACCCCGGGATCATGACCTGAGCCGAAGGCAGACGCTTAACCGACTGAGCCACCCAGGCGCCCACCAGATTTATTTTCATATACACACTTTTACATGAATATAAGGAACATATATATGTGTGTATATATAGTTATAATCCATATAATATATATATTCTTACATTCAGGTACTATATACATGAGATAGAAGAGCCAACTTCAGGGCGCCTGGGTGGCTCAGTTGGTTAAGCAACTGCCTTCGGCTCAGGTCATGATCCTGGAGTCCCAGGATCGAGTCCCACATCGGGCTCCCTGCTCAGCAGGGAGTCTGCTTCTCCCTCTGACCCTCCTCCCTCTCATGCTCTCTCTCATTCTCTCTCTCGCAAAAAAAAAAAAAAAAAAAAAATCTAAAAAAAAAAAAAAAGCCGGGTGCCTGGGTGGCTCAGTCGGTTAAGCGACTGCCTTCGGCTCAGGTCATGATCCTGGAGTCCCAGGATCAAGTCCCACATCGGGCTCCCTGCTCAGCAGGGAGTCTGCTTCTCCCTCTGACCCTCTTCCCTCTCGTGCTCTCTATCTCTCATTCTCTCTCTCAAATAAATAAATAAAATCTTAAAAAAAAAAAAAGCCAACTTCAAAAGGACATACTGTAGGATTCCATTTATATAACATTCAAGAAATAACATAATTATATAGAAGAGATTAGTGGTTACCAAGGGTTAGGAACAAGGGAGAATGGGATGGGTATAGCAATAACAAACAGGAGGGAGCCTTATGGTGACAGTACTACTATTTTGACTACTGTGGTATGATACAAGACTATGTGATAAACCTGCATAGAACTATACACACAGAAGTCTGAAAAAGTTCTATGGATTGTACCAATGTCAATTTTTCAGTATGATATTGTACTGTTGTGCCAGATGTTAACATCTGGGGAGGCTGGAGGAAGGGTACATGGGACTTCCTTGTACATTTCTTTGTAACCTCCTGTGAATCTATAATTATTTCAAAATTCAAAGTTTTTTTTTTTTTTTTAAGATTTTACTTATTTGAGAGAAAGAGAGAGAGCACAGAGGGAGAGTGAGAGGGAGAAGGAGACTCCCTGCTGAGCAGAGAGCTCAATGCAGGGCTCAATCTCAGGACCCTGGGATCATGACCTGAGCTGAAGGCAGACGCTTAACTGACTGAGCCACCCAGGTGCCCCTCAAAATTAAGTTTTAAAAAAGAAACCACTACACCTATGTGAAAAGAAAGGCATGGTCAGGCATCAAAAACTGATAGAAGAATGCCATCTTTAAATGAAAACAAAACACTTAGAGTATATATCATTTTTCCATGATTCCTTCCATATTAGTTTCTTAGGACTGATATAACAAAGAACCACAAACTGCGTGGCTTAAAACAACAGAAATATACTCTCTCACAGTTCTGCAGCACTAATACTGATTCACAGATATCATCAAAGACCACCCATCTGTAGTATGGCCCCGCTCTTGGCCTCCAGAACCCTATACTTTCCTAGATGACCTCCTTCCTTCCCAGTCAACCCTCTACTATCTCTCTCCTTTTTTTTTTATAGTATTTTATTTATTTATTTCAGAAAGAGAGAGCACAAGTGAGGGGCAAAGGGAGAGGGATAAGCAGACTCCCCGCGGAGCAGGGAGCCGATGAGGGACTCGATCCCAGGACCCTGGGATCATGACCTGTGCCAAAGGCAGACATGTAACTGACTGAGCCACCTAGGTGCCCAACCCTCTGCTATCTCTACTTCCTCAATGTAATTTTCTTTAACTTTCCCAATTTCTAATCAACCTTAATTTTTCCTACTATACCATTAAGAACATATGTTCTTGATCCACTACTGTAACACTTAAAAAAAGGTATTCCTATTACCTCGTAAAGCAACTCGTAGGAATTTTTTTAAAAATTAATAAATACTGTTGACTGTGTCTTTTGATGAATAGACATTTTTAAGTTTGGTGTACTCCCATTTGTCTATTTTTGCTTTGTTTACCTATACCTTGCTTGGTGTCATATCCCAGAAAACACTGCCAAACCCAATGTCATGAAACTTTTTCCCTATGTTTTCTTCTAGTTTGGGGTCTTAGATTTAGGTCTTTGATCCATTTTGAGTTAATTTTTGTATATGGCGTAAGGTAAGGATCCAACTTTATTCTTTTGCATATGGATATCCAGTTTTCCCTACACCATTCGTTAAAGATAGTC